GCCGACAGCCCCACATCGACCCTCGTCGCGGGTAGCCACCGGCGCGCCGAAGGCGCTCCGACCCCCGTCGCGGCGCGACCACGAGGCGAGGTTGACCCCCGTCGGGGGGTCCCCCCCCCACGCTTATCAAGAAACCCGGGGTACAGTGAGCGGCTTGAAGGAGAAACCTTCCTTTCAAAAGGGGCTCGGTCGTTCCTTAGGCTTGCATGCGTTATTCATCGTTCCTCATGCGTTACTTCTTTTCTATCGTTGCTTATGCGCTACCCCTTGGAAAAAAAGAGGCTTCGTTCCTGATTTACCGTTCCTGAGGTCAGGCCGATGACGGTAGTCGCTGCCACGCTGGACGAGGCGCATCTCCCTTCTGGTTCGCCTCGTGCCTCGGCGTGGCGTGGGCTCATCGCGCCTCGTGCCCTGGAGCGTTCCAGGGGCGCTCTCGGGGCGCCCTCCTGGGGCGCTCTCTCCGTGGCCCCTCGCTGCCCGTCGTGGCCCCGTCGCAGCCCTTCGTGGCCCCCTCGCTGCCCTTCGTGGCCCCGTTGTGCAGCCCTTCGTGGGCCGAGGGCCTCCGAGATGTCCCCGAGTTCGCCTCGGCTCACAGAGAAGCTCGGCGGCGAGCCCAGAGGGGGGGGGGAAGCGAGAAGGAGAAGGCCTGCTCGGAAGGTTCGGAAGTACCCTGGCCTTCTGAGAGGTGTGCTGAGCCTTGCCTGAAGACACAACGCAGCTTCTCAGAAGGCGCGAGGGCCTTCGGGGAAGTCCCGCCGCCTTCTGAGATGTCCCTCTGCTTCTCACTCCCCCCCCCCTCGCTCGCCGCCGAGCCTCAGCTCACAGAGAAGCTCCCTCAGATCATGGCCCGCGCCTCCTCTCTGCGCGGGCGGGGAGGGGGGGGGGGACGGCGGGCGGGGCCCCCGCCCAATATCCACGGGAGGCCCCCGGCGTCGTGCTTTTCTGAGGCGGCGCGGCGGGTGGTGTTTGGCAGCGCCTCCGCCTGGGCCCTGGCATCGCTCGGACGTGCGCATTTTTGTTTCCTCGGCGAGGACCGTTGAGGAGCATCCTGGGTCCTCGAGGAGAAAATAAACGTCCGAACCATGGCACGAAGAATTCGAAAAAACGCACGAAGAATTCGAAAATAAACGTCCTCGAGGAGAAAAAGCGCACGAAGAGTTCGCAAAAAGCGTCCGAGCCATGGCGAGGGGCCGGGCGTTGCCCGAGGCGCTCCGGGCCCAGGGCTCGAGCAGCAGAAGTGGGCACGGGCACCACTCTCGGCGGCTCCTCGGCGCTCCGCGCGGGCCTCTCGGATCGCGCCCCCTGGCGCGCGGGCGGCGCGCCCCGCGCGCCACGGAGGAGTCCAGCGCCGACCCGAGGCACCCGCGCGGAGCGCCGAGAAGTGATGCTTTTGCTGCTTTGATGTGCCGTTTTGCGGGGTGCCTCGGGGAGGACGTCGGCTTCCTCGCGCCCGTCCGGAGGGGCGCGCGGGCCCCCTCCAGAACTCGGGAGGGGGCTGCCCCTGGAGGCCCTCTGGGCCTCCCAGGGGGTCCTGGGGAACAACTTGGGGCCAGGGGCACCCGGCAGCCCCCGGAGGCACTCCGGGCCTCCCAGGGGGGTCCTGGGGAACACTTCGGGCCAGGGGCACCTCGTCGGCAGCGAGCGAGGGGGCGGGGAGCGAGAAGGAGGAGGCCTTCTCAGAAGGCGGCGGGACTTCTCAGGGGTCTCCCAGGGGCTCCTGGGGAGCACCTCGGGCCAGGGGCACCTTGTCGGCAGCGAGCGAGGGGGGGGTAGCCAGAAGGAGAATTCCTTCTCAGAGGGCGGCGGGACTTCTCAGAAGTCCTCGCCCCTTCTGAGAGATTTTCGGGCTGTCTTCGGAGAAGGCTCGGGGAACTTCTCAGAAGACCCAGGGACTTCAAGCCTTCTGAGAAGGCCCGCCCCGTCTCACTTCCCCCCAAGGTTGGCCGCCGAACCTTGGGCTGGGGCACCTTGGGCAACACCCGACGACCGGGGGCCTGAGTTATAGGTAAGAGGCCTCTCGGGGCCCTCTTTGCCTGTTTTGGGGCGCCCGCGGCTTCGAACAAGTAACGCGGGAAGCGCCAGCGAACCGCGGGAGGCACGCCGGGAACGCCGGAAGATTTGAGACTTTGGGGTCCGGGCCCCTTAATGCTCAACCTTGAGGACTGAGCACTAAGGACTACAGTTGGACGGAGGTATAAGATCGAGGTCGGTTCGGAGAGGGTGCCCTCGTGTTTTTTTGTTTGTTGGATGATTTTGTGCATCCTGGCGAGGGTAGCCGTGGGTGTTCTGTTTGTGTTGGCCGACGGAGAGTCTCGTGTTCTCGAAGGATGTTCTTCTGGCCCAGGTCCGACTGCAGTCGCGAAGGGCGAAGAGCGCAGATCTCTGACAAACGGATCTCTTTGATCGAAGGATTGCAAACAAAAACCCTGTTTGCAATCCTTTTTGCAATCCTTTTTGCAACCCTGGGTTTTTTTGCAATCCTTTTTGCAATCCTGGGTTTTTTTGCAATCCTTTGATCTGGGCGTGTTTCCTCGGGTTGCGGCCTCTGCGGGGCGCGTTGCCGGGCCCCGAGGCCATCCAGACCAGGGATCCGGGGACCCCCGACGACACGATTCCCTCACTCACATCGGGGGAGCGTAAGACCCGGGTTTGCCAGGACTCGGGTTCGCCAATTTTTGTTTGACGACCGCGACTCGGATTTTGACGAGTAGGAGTTTCGTGGGATGTCTGCAGCGGGAGGCCTCGTCAAAATGCAGGCTCGGCCTCGTCATTTTTTTGACGACCTCGTCGGGGATTTCCGAGTCCCCCGTACCCGGGTCTTACGTCTTCCCGATCACAACGTGGACCCCCTCGGGTCTCGACCCATTCCTCGGAACCGGCTTTCGAGGGGGCATCGGAAGAAGCAAGAATAATGTGAGCATGAGACTTCGGAGGTCCGCACGGATTTCTTGGATCTGCGCTGGATCCCCCCCTCTGGCGTGGCGCCAGAGTCGCCGCCAGGGGGGTCCTGCGCAGACCCAAGAACTCTACGCGTAGCTCCGACAGTTTCTGTTGATGCAGTTGTTAGTTTTTCCTTTACCCGTCGGTCGTTGAAGGTAAGCATGTCTGGATCTCCAGATCCCAATCTACTTCAAACGCCTTCCTGCTCTAAGAACCGATCTGCTCTGACTGCGACTTGATGTTCTCCAGGGAGGGCCCGAAATCAATCTACATGATCCGCCTTCCTACTTCATGCCTTTACCTACTTCTTCCGACCGACGTGTGACCATGTTGCGCGCGGGCCCACTTCCCCCGAGCTCAGAAGCACCTCGGCGGGCCGATCGACACCGTCGCTCCGATGCTCCCCGCGCGCGCGTGGGACGTCGGACGTCGTGGCACCAGCGGCTCAGGGCCTCCGAGCCGATCCTCAGGGAAAGAGGCTGCGCTTGTCATCCCCGGGCGCCCGCCGGCCCGGCCTGTCTTCGAGGCGCACGGCAGGTTCGTGCCGTGCCGACCCCAGCGTTGGTTTCTGGCACCGCGGGGATCGGGCGGGTGGTCATCCAGACCCCCTCGCGCTGGGACAAAAAAACACGACGGGAGGTTCCTTAGTTGTGGCCTCGGGGGCCCCTATCGTGCCTCGGGACCGTCAAACCACGACGCGGGATGAAAAGCCGGTCCTGGGGCATGGGTTCGGGCTTCTGGGGGCCGCGTCATGAAAAAGCACGACGTCGGGAGTCTGGGAACGGGGGGGAGGCCTAATTCGGGGGGTGAAGAAATGGGCCCTAAGGGGGCACTTCAGGGCCGCGTTTGAAGCCAGCAGGGGGCCTCAAGGGGCCTTACAGTGCTCCTTTGGGGCCCTTTTCGTCACCCCCCGTTCAGGTCCCCCCCCCATTGCCGCCCGCCCGAGGGGATCGTTCAACCTTGAACGATCGGCCGTTTCCGAACTGGGTCGCCAACGGCGTTCAACATTGAACGCCAGCGGCGGGGTCGCCGACGGTCGACACGACACGGACCTACTTACCGTACGCGCCCCGAGCCTCTCGGGCGAGGCCATGACACGGATAAATCCGTTTCAGGGCGTTCCGGGGCGCTTTCAGAGCGTTCCCGAACGCGCTGAGAGAGAAGGCCGCGGCGCCTGATACGTCTTCAGAACCCGCTGGATCTGAGAGATTTCCGATTTTTCCCTGTTCAAAGTTGTCCCTGGTTTTGTCTTTTCGTCTCGTCTTACCCTTGCCCCAGGGCGCAGCGCTGTTCATCCCAAGTGGTTGTTTGGGGGGTGATCGCCCCTGGGGCCCCGAGCTGGGCTCCAGAGCCGCCAGATGCGGCGAGCAGCAGAAGCGAGAACCTTGATTCAAGTTCGGGCTGGCGGCTGACCTCAGGGGCAACGTCAGGGGGGATATGCGCTCGGGGGGGATGCATCGACAAATCAGCGATACAGGCCTCGGAAAAGATAGCGAACACGCATGCCACATTCATCGGTCAACGCCCCCCCCCCCAATGTTAAAAGTTGGCGGTGGGTCTGATGCGTTGCACTTCGACGGCAGCCCACCCCGCGCGTGCCAACTCTGAGTTTGGGGGAGCGGGGTGTGTGTCAACCAATTGTTTCCCCCTGCCGTAGGCGGCCCGACAGCCCGCCCCGTCCAGAACGTGCGGCTTCGCTATCGAGAGCCCATCGCCGATCTCTCGGCGATCCCCTGGATCGGGTATAGCCAGGACCCGGGTTCAGGGGAGCCGGTTAGTGACTGGCCCCCGAAGCCCAGGATATGGTTTGGAACTGCTGAGCAAGGTCTGCCGTAGCCGATGCTGTTCCGGTTACGGCAATTCTGGTTGGTGGAATGGGACGGGGGGGGCGCCGCCCGGTACACCTTAGGCGATGCTTAAGAAAACCTAAGTTTTCGTCCAGAGTCTCGATTATTCTTAACTTTTCAATGTAAATCCTAAGTTCTGAATGGAAATTTTGGGTTTTTATTCAAGTTCTGAGACTATGAATTTCTTAACCCATGATTTCTTAAGCATTTCGCAGGGTGTAGTGCCCAGCTCTGCCAACGCCGGGCTGGCGCCGGTCCCCCCACGGCGCTCCTCCTCGGCCCAGGGCGCCCGTGCCATGGGCCCTCGCAGTGGGCTGCTGGCCGCGGCCTGCCTGGTGCCGGCCGCGGCCGCAGCGCGGGCGCCCCCCGAGGCGGCGGAGATGACGGCCGACGGGTCCTCAGCCCTGGAGCTCCTCGCTTTCGCCGTCGTCGTCGTCGTCGTCGTCGCCGTGGCCGTCGTCGTCGTCGTCCTCCTCCTCCCCCTCCTCCTCCTCCTCCTCCTCCTCCTCCTCCTCCTCCTCCTCCTCCTCCTCCCTCAGCAGCTGGTGTCCCTCTTTAGCCGTCCTGCTGTCCTCCAGAGAAGGCCGTCCTTTCAGCGGCTGCCGCTGGCAGGCGCTTCATCCATGCATCCAGGAGAGCCGCTCGCTGCGACAAGGCACTGCAAACGTCCTGGCTCGCATCAATTCTCGTTTTGTCTCGTTCCTCGCCCATCGCTCCTCGTTCTTCGCTCCTCGTTCTTCGCTCCTCGTTCCTCGCACCTCGTTCCTCACTCCTCGTTCCTCGCTCCTCGTTCCTCCTTCCTCCTCTTCCTCCTCCTTCTCTGCCCTCGTTTCTTGCTCCTCCTCCTCCTCCTCATTCGCCTCCTCCGCCTCCGTAGCCATTTTGGCTCAAGATGACGACCTGGGGGGCTGTCCAGCCTCCAGGCCGAAGGGAGACCTCTGGACCGAGGACAGTTCCCAGAGGGGCGTCGGGCGCGCGCGCGGCACCGCTGCAGCCATGGGGAGTGGCGGCGGCGGACGCGGGGCGGGCAGCGCCTGGTCGGGGACCCCGAATCGCCAGAGGGTTCCCCCGTGGAAGAGGAGCAGCAGTGGCAGTCGCCCTCCTCGCAGCAATTACGTGGTGTGTGACGGGTGCAGCAGATGGCGCTACTGCAAGAATATCACCAGCAGGGGCGACCTCTGCATCTGCGGCAAGAACCTCGCCTGCCTCGTCCCCGACGGTCATGTCTTCCGTGACGACGATGGTGGGTGGCTGGCAGCACAGCTCCAAGGAGGAACTTCGCCCAGGATCAGCTTGGCAGATGGTTGGCAGCCAGGTGGTGGTGCAGGCGGGAAAGGACAAGGAGGCTAACGCCAGCCACTACCTCACGACAAGACTGTCGACCTCAAGGCTGCCGCCGCAGCAGCTTACAGCAAGCTCAGCAAGGACGACCCGCTCAGGCAGCACTACGAGGCCCTCTGGCCTGAGCTCGCCGCAGCCAAGCCACCAGCTGACCAACCAGTCGTTGGATTCAAGGCAGTGGAGGCAGCTGCTCGACGCTTGGACAAAGTCCAGAAGAAAGTACGATCGGCAGGGGAGCAAGTCGAGAGTGCCCAGCAGTACTTGGCTGAGAGTGAACGCAAGCTTCGTGAAGCCATGGGAGCCTCCATTGCAGCCGAAGATGAGTTCGACAAGCTCAAGGCCACAGTCGGCAAGCAAGAGGCCCCAGCTGAACCTGCAGCCGAGAAGCCAACTCTGGCAGCCCTCCTGGAGCAGTTCGAGCATGAGCCTGACGACTTCCACAAGTGGTCCGAGCCCGACAAGGAGGTCTGGCGAGCAGCGAAGGCCAATGAGGAGCGCATGGCCCAGACGGTCAAGGAGCACGAGGAGGAGACGGCGAAGCACCTGCGACTACTGGAGGAAGAGACGGCCAGGCACCAGGAGCAGCTGCGCCAGTTCGAGCAGGCCCGCACCAAGCGCCTGTCAAAGAGCGGAGTGCAAGACCCAGCAGCAGCAGCAGCCCCACCAGGCAAGCGAGTCTGCGCCGCCAGCCCAGCCCCTCAGCGAGGTGCCACCACATGCACTGAGGCAGCAGGGACAGCCGCCGCGGCTGCGCCCACCGGCGCCGCAGCAGCTGCCCAGCCAGAAGCAGCCGCAGCAGAACCTGACAAAGCAGAAGAACGCCGAGCCAGAGTGGAGGCCCACATCCAGGAGGCGCGAGAGAAGGTCTCGCAGGCTAGGCGCGCCGAGACAGTCGTCGACGCAGAAGGGCAAGGTGACCACTCAGCAGGGTAGCCGCCCCAAGGCGAGCGCGAAGAAGGCTCGCCGCCCGTGCCGCATCGACTTCTTCAACGTCACGACCAGGGGCCCCAGGGCACAGGGCTACCTCATGGAGATCAACAATACCAAGGACAGGGACATCATTGGCATCGCGGAGCACCACCTCCGCCAGCCTGCGCATATAAGCAAGGCAAGAGCGGCGCTCAGGAGGAATGGCATGCACAGCTACTGGACCAAGGCACGGCCAGGAGAAGGAGAAGGCACTCGAGGAGGCACGTGTGCCATCACGCGAGGACCCTTGGACATCCAGGACAGGATCGCGGGTTTTGATGGGCACTACCTGCACGAGGGCGGCAGTGACGTCACGGTGGTGATCTCCAACCTGCACAAGGTTCGTTTCGCAGTGGCCTTCGTCCACCTTGAGTGTGGGGCGGGCTTTGGAGAGCGGAACGTCGACATCCTCTGCGACCTGCGGGAGAAGATGGCCGTCTGGGGAGGGCCCTGGGCAGCGCTTGGGGACTTCAGCATGACGCCGTCGGAGCTCAACAACAGCATTTGGCCCAGGGTGCTGAATGCTCAGGTAGCAGCGGCGGAGGATGGCGCCCCCACATGTTTCCCAGCAGAAGGCGAGGCCAGGTGCATCGACTTCGCGCTGATCTCGCAGGGCCTGGCGCCGTATTTCGACCAGCTGGAGCTGCTCAGGACCGTGCCGTGGAAGCCGCACATCGGCATCCGCTTGGAGCTGAAGGGCGGCCTCTCATGCTCAAGGGCAGGGCACTTCGCAGGCCAGCAGCCATAAAGCCGCCAGTCACAGTCGAGAGAATGCCGAAGTCCAGAGCCGCTTGCAGACGAGCGGCGCGTGGAGGCCAGGAGGCCATGCGCCGACGTCAGCAAGCGTTGGCAGAGGCAGGGCGCGACCTGGACGGGAACGACATGGAGCCAGTGCCGCAGCTGTACTACGACAAGGAGGTCCAGCACGTCATCCCTGACGAGCTGTGGCAGGCCACCTCCGAGCGGGTCAGCGCGCGCGCCTACGACGAGTCGCCCCAGCACTTGCAGCGCGCAGTCGTCGGCAAGATGATGGAGCGGGACATGCTGGACCTGGGGCAACAGTACGACCGCTTCGCAAACACCCTCGAGCTCAGCCTGCGCGAGAGCATCGACATCCCAGAGGAAGAGCGTGGACGACATCTCGGGCACAGCCGGCCCCCGAGCTGCAAGTGCGCGAGCATCAAGGACACCGTCACCTCTACGCCATGGGGCAGGGGTCGAGAGGAAGATCCACGCGTGGTGGGCGGAGATCTCCTCCTTGGTGCGGCGGCTCTCGCACCATGATGCCCGAGCGCAGGAGGCAGCAGCAAGTCGACAGGGCAAGACCCAGGCACTTCCCGATGAGGACTCAGGAGGTGGACAGGGCCCGTCGGCGCCTGAGCTTGGCCCCGTCATGTCTGACAGCCAGGCAGGCCACGAAGACGGGGTTCCCGCACCAGCCACGAGCCCATCGAAGAGCTCGGGAGGAAGCTCGGTGGATCGCGCCCCCACCGAGCGGGGTGAGGGCCCCCCCGAGCTGCAGCAGCGGCGCGCAGGCAGTGGAGGCGCAGCTGGAGGCGGCGGCAGTAGCACCAAGGACATCGCGCATCAGCCAGCACTTGAGGAGGTCTCCCCTCCTCAGGCTGAGGTCCAGGAGCTCGCAGAGGGGCCAGCCCAAGAGAGCCCAGAGCGACCCTGCCTCAGACCAGCATCGCCGCCAAAGGACGCGTCCTGGACCTCCGAGACGGGCGCAGGTTTCCAAGAGATGAGGGCGAGGCGGCCCGGCCTAGAGAAAGAGGTGGGCCCCTCCTCACTCTCCTCGGGGCACCCATCCCCCACGCAGGCAAGCGCAGCTGACCATGGGAAGGCAGCTGGCCCCTGCTCTGAGATGGGTCAGGGGTTCCCGTCCCCCAAGTGCGCCGCCACGGGGCGCGCCCCAGACCTCGACGTGGGACCGACCCACAGCAGCGCAGACAGCTGCGCAGAAAGGATGCAGAGGGGTGCCCTTCCCCCACCAGCAGGACGCAACACCATGGACATCCAAGATCACGACCCCTTCGAGGATGAGGAGGACTACTTGGAGTACCGCCAGGAGATCGCAGACCAGGAGAACAGCGACGGGTACCACCAGCACATCGAGGGGCAGCAGGACAGCCTCGAGTTCAGCCAGACCGTTCGCCGTCGTGCAGCTGGATCTGCCTTTCCCCCACCAGCAGGACGCAGCACCATGGACGTCCAAGACCACGACCCCTTCGAGGATGAGGAGGACTGCTTGGAGTATCGCCAGGAGACCGCAGATCAGGAGGACTGCGACGGGCACCACCAGCTCATCGAGGGGCAGCAGGACAGCATCGACTACGGCCAGACCGTTCGTCGTCATGCAGCTGGATCTGGTAAAACTGCCCCAGGTGACACGCAATGCTCACCTCCTCAGCCAGCTGGCACTCTGGAGGCAGAGGGTACCGATCACCTGGGGAGTCAGAACCAAGCGCCGCCAGGCCCAAAGGCAGAGGAGCCACGTGATATGGGCCTGCCCCCACCAGACCTCTGGAACGATGACCAGCACCAGCGGGAGCGGGAAGACTCCGTGGCCATGAGACGACTTGGAGCACTGGGCGGCCATCTGGATGGATAACTTGGTGCAGCTCCCCACGGACAACAGCAACTGGATGCAGATCTGTGCGCCGCTCCTGGAGACCATCTTGGGTGGCGGAGGCAACAATGGCATGGTGAGACTGCTCAGGCGTAGGTACCAGCAGGCCGGCCTCAGCCACATCATCAGGGACCTCTGCGAGCGAGCATGGAGACATGCAGAACCACGACGCCGAGGCTTTCTCCAAGGTCTTACGCGAGAGGAGCCGACGAGGAGGCACGAATTGGAAATGATGCATTGGAGGGAGCTTGCTAACCTGCGGAGGTTCATGCGAGAAGTTATTGGCGAACGAGCACCAGAAGGAGCAGCTCGTAGACAACTACACGATGCTCCAGGAGCAGGCAGTGGCCCGAGTAGCCGCCGAGAGCTGCACGTCCGCACCCACAGCGGCCACCAGACGCAGCAGCAGATCAACACAAGACGGCAGCTCGCACAGCAGCTCAACCAGCCTGACCCAGGCAGGCT